TGAATGAATGGAGGACTTGTTTCCTAGCTTTCTCAAACAAAGATAAAATCATAGTGATTTTTAAAAGAAAACTTAATACATTTTTAAAGCGAGCCAAGCAATTTTAGGCATTCTATATGTGTTATTTTGTGCAAAAAAGGTAAGGCTCTGACTCCTAGTTCAGCTTTTGTTGATTTTATTTCCTAATTGTGTTTGTCTGCTGCTTGGCCACTGGAAAGTTTCCATTGCTGGGAGATTGGCCTGGAGGACATATCCTGCCTATTGGAACATTGAGCTAGAAGGTAGAAGAAAGGGAAAAATAGGGTTCTGATGTGCTAGAAATCTGGGTTGGGGTCATTGTTGTAGCTTTGGTGCTTTTTAGACAGTCCTGGCTGAGTTTACAATAGCAAAATCTAGAAACGTCTCCCAGCTGGCCTGCCTTGTGGGGTGTCTGTAGAGTTGATGGTCACTTTGGGGCAAAGCCTTCTCCTCTGAATTGCCCTTCCATCCCTGTTTTGAAGGTATTACTTCAAGAAAGTCAGTGATGAGTTTGACTGTGGAGTGGTGTTTGAAGAAGTTCAAGAGGAGGATGCCGTCCTGCCCATCTTTGAAGAGAAGATCATTGGGAAAGTAGAGAAGATTGATTAACCCAGCGTGAGCCAAAATGGGAGCAGGCCTGTGCCTGGCAGCCACAGCACCCTTCCTTGCTGCTTGCCTTCTGTGAGGGAAGCCACAATCCTCTCAGTGCCATGTAGGATCTTCAGCTTGCTGCATTAGGAACATTACACAGCTGTTGACAGAAGCTGCACCAAAGGATGTCTTTGAGATGATCCCGGGCTTGCAATATCATGGCCGTGCCGCCTCCCCCCGGACAGTGGAACAAGCCAGAAGCTGGGGATTCCCGCGGGAGGGGAGGCAGACCGAACAAGACTCTGGTTTGCATTTTGAATAGCCTTGGAAAGAGGCGTACTTTATAGAATTGCACCTTGTCCTGCCCACATAGGTCCTCTTGTTCACATGCTGTTGAGAAGCAGAGGAAAAGACTCCGAGATGCTGTCTTGGCTCAGGACCATCCCATGCCTTGCTACCTCTCTCATTTTCTTGCTACTCAACAGCTGGAGGGGGAGAGAGTGGGCTTATGGCACAAGTAAAAGGCTGATAGATCAGCCTCCCACCAGTCTCTTCTCCTTGCTGAAAGTTGCAGAACTGCGTGCTCCCTCCTGTCAGTCTTCCGGTTCCACTGCAGCTCTGTCCTTTTAATCCCCCCCCTACACACACACATAACCTGGGCTCCACGTATCCATGGCAGAGGAGGTGGAACAGCCCTCAGGACTGCCCCCACCAGCACCCACCCTTTGTGGATGTCACTGAGTGCCTTCCAACCCCATGCTTGTCCCCTCCCCTGGTTAGGGTTCTTGCCTTCCTAGGCTCCGATTGTGTTCCACATCTGATGGACATTTTAATGTGTTGTACCCGGCTGGAGCCGGATCTTCATTTCCCCTTTTTCTGAAGGGTTCGATTGTAGATATGTACATTTTCTAAACCAAGTGTCAGCCATCAGTGGCTGAGCAAATGGCTGGCAATTCTGGAACTTTTTTTTTCACACGCTGACTTGTACAATTTATCTTTTCAAAGGTACTTGGATAATAATGGAATAAAGCCCTGTGTTCCGATGGTTGCTGGGAGTATGTGTGCACGCAGGTTTTGCTTCTCAGAGGGCTTGGTACCTCCTCTCAGTCCCGTCTGCGGCACTGGAAATGCGCTCCTGGGGAAGGGGAAGAGAGGACAAGGCAGACTGGCCAGCTTCCAAGTGGGCGCCGACTTCTCAGGGGTCCTGGAAGGTGCAGCCCGGGAGGCATCTGAGCCTTGTGACTTCTGGTGTCGGGCCTTGGCTCAGCTGCTGCCTGGCCAGGGCTGCCAGAAAGGCTGAGGGTGTGTGGATTTTGGAGAGTTGTGGCAGCCATCTTTGTGGCTTGTTCGGCACTGTGGCGAGCCAGCTGGTGATGGGTGGCACCAGCCAACAGCCTTTCCTTCTGCCTAGGCTGCGCTTGCTGCTCCCAGGGGTTCTTTCACACAGACTTTTTTGTGGCAGGGCAAGGTGACTTGAATGGACTGGGGTGGATCGATTTATGCAGAAGAGCCAGCCCTGGAAAATACGTGGGAGGGCGGGTAGGGTAGAAACACATATAAGCAAACAACTGACTATTTTAGGAGTTGTATGTACTGCACAACTTAAAACACATGGTGAGCTTCACAGAATCTTCTTTTTGACATTCAAGGTCTTTATATTGTTTATGACGCTGTGGGGACATCATGTAGAAAGTGGGGTTCAGGAGAGTGCCAGCAGGATCTACAATTCTTCCCTGGACTCTGTGGTCTCTGGTGGATTCGTCCCATCCTGCTTGGGCTCTTTGGGGGTCTCAGCAGCCTAGAAAGCCAGAGGCAACCTTTACTCAAGGACCTGGGTATGAAGAAGGGGCTGTTCCCCAATAGCAATTACTGTCCACGGCCATTTGGTCTACAGGCATAGCTCTGCTTGTTTGCTAAACTGGCTCTTAGGAGGCTGAGGTTGAAGCATCCAAGGGAAGACAGCAGATTCAGAAAGAAGCCCCCATCGTGAGAGCAAAGCCCAAGGCTGTTTCCAGCCTGCCCTCCCTCCAGCTCTTGGTAGGATTGTCCAGAAGCAGAATGCGTGGAGTTTCATTGCGATCCACCACAGCACCAGCAGCAGCTGGGAACTAAGGACTAGAAATCTAAGTTCTAGTAAGACCAGGAAACTGCATTTGTATTGATTAGAATTACAGTGTAGACAACTCCTTCATGCCAAGCACCTTTTGGGAATGGGAGTGTCTCCCCAAAGTCCAGAAGGGAACCTGGCAAAAAAAGACTCCTCCAGGGGTTCCAAATGGCCTATCTTTGAATTGGGCTGAGCAGGCAAACTAAGGGCCATCCAGGAGCCCATTTTCTGTAGGGGACTGGTACTTACTCCAGTCTCCTCGTTGGAGGGAAGCTTTCCTCCTTCCTCCAGGAACCTTGAGAAGCTTTCGAGGTCTCTGGCACTCGTGTATTCAGTCACCTGGGAAGGAAACCCGCAATCAGCATGGTCCCACATCCTTCCTCCCCCAACCCAGCAGCAAGACCCTCCTCCCACAGCCACACCTCTAGAACAGGCATGTTCTACAGCTGCAGTCTCTACTTGCCCAGACCCTGATGTACCTTCCGGCCCACCCCTGCAGGAAAGAAGTACAGCGCTGGGTAGCCACGGATGGTCAGATCTGCTACTTCATTGGCTGTGGCGTCCATTTCTGCAATTACAATATCCTCATGATCTTTATATTTCTCTCCTAACTCTTCCCAGGCCAGTGCCATTGCCTTTGAATGGGGGCACCAGGGGGCATCTGTGGAGGCAAAATAGAATAGGCTCTCTTGAGGTGGGGGTCTTTGTTTTCCTGATTAAAAATACTCAGCAATGCCATGTGTTGTGAGCTGTACAAGCTTGGATTCAGGTTGTCTGTGGCTAGGTTTGCACAACACACTTGCCTAGGTGTAACGTGCGGTTGGGGATTCAGCATGGAGCAGAACTCAGCTGTTGCTTTAGCAGGTTGGGTGCCTGGAGGTGTCATTAAGCTTCATGTTTATCTGGGTGACGTCTGTTCTATGAATGCAACAATTGGGTTTGGTATATTTCTGGTCTGGTGTGTTGTATGGACCCAACCTATAAAATTGCCAGGGACCAAAGATGGGGGAAGGGGGAGGCTATGTGCCTTTCTAGGGAACTATGTTTGGCTTTAAAGATTAAAGTGCCTGGAACATTTTCATGTTTCAGTTGGTGTTTGGCTGGTGTCACTTTTTAATGCTCATTAATTGGATAGTTTGTATTGGGTGGGCAGAGCTTGGGGAAGCTTGTAGGCACATAAAATTCCCCTCCCCCAGCCCCCAGTCTCAATAGAACTGAGACTTACTTGCTGCTGCGAGAGGATAAACACTTTGGGCTAACCCTAAACCCTTTTCTGGCAGGGTCAGAAAAGCTGCCCACCCCCAACCTAAGGCTATGCTGGAATCTTTATAAAATCTACCAATACTGTTGGACAGCAAAGTTTCAGACACACATTAAACCAATGGAGCAGGACTGGTTGTTTGTTCCCTGCTTGCTACGGCAGCCAGAAAGTCTGATTGTGCCCATGAGACGCTGTGGCCTAATACTTGAGCCTCTGGGCCTTCCTTGGGGACACTTGAAAGCATCTGGCCACCCCAGTGACCCTCCATTAACTGGAGCTGCATTCTAGGATCTCTCCTGGCATTAGCTTTTTTGGTGTTCAAGGTCTTCATGCTTACAGAATTTCACAAACACATTTTTGGTTTCATCAAATGCAACTTGCTCAAAGTTCTTGCCCACCACGACTTTCACCGGCTTCTTATCCCAGTCATTGGAGATCTCCTCGCTCATCAGGTGGGGCTGGAAGAGAAAGCAAAACCAGAGAGTTGGGACTGCTGGGAAAGGTGGTGCCTAATTCGCAAGAGGGCTCACTCCAGTTTGTCATAGGCTGCGTGCCCTGGGCGGGAATGCGCTTGCGGCTTTTTCCCAGAGGGAGTGCCCAGCAAGCCCTTTTCCTGTTAACATGGAGGAAGGAGATGGGCTGGGGGCTCCATTGCTCCCTGGGGGTCTACATGTGGAACATCAGGGTGAGCCCCCCCACCTTTCCCAGATGTTGGCTGCCCACCTGAATTTTCCCCTCCAGAACTTCCTGGCAAAAGATGTGGAGGCTGTGCACGGTGAGCCCTTCTGTGGCTAGACGGTATTTTTTGTTGGCCTCGATGTTGATGAAGCGGAGGGTGGGAGCATCGTGCCCCTTAAGGCCGAAGTACTGCAACACGCTGGCCCCTTCCCCGTTGACATCAACCAGCACGAAAAGCACCTGTGGTCCCAGACACGTCCCCCAGCTGCTGATGACGTATGTGCATATGTGCCCTGATGGCAATTTGGTCACAGCCAGCTGTTTTCCCTCTTTCCCTGGCTAGCTTACCAAGAGGAGGCTGGTGTCTGCCAAAAGGGAAGGGAGAGGGAAGGGTCCCCCCAAAGGGCCAGTCCCACTGGACTCACCTGACCTCGGAATGTGGTGGCTCCCTCCTGAAAGGGGCCCAGGAGCCCCAGCTGGGAATCCACTGACTTGTTGATGAAGAGCAGCAAATGGTTTGGGATCTTTGCCCCAAATATCCTGGAGGAGTTCTAGGGGAAAACCATAGGCATTTAACTTCTCTGGGGGGAGAGAGCTGAAACCCCCGGGCATAAAAACCAGGCAGGTTGGGCCACCCTGATGTTCTGGAGCATCTCTCCTCCCTGACCACTTCTCAGCTATCTTGGCCTAACAGGACACAGAGGGAGCTGCTGGTGTGCTCCTGCAAGTGGCAGCAGAGCAACAGGTCTGGAGAAGGTGACTCGGGGTACATTTTGGCCTGGAGAAGCCAAGGTGCCTTCTCACAGCACCTGTGAATGAGCTGCCCACGGCAGTCCCTTTGAGGGATCCCACAAAGGGACCAATAACGTGCAAGAGGAAGAGGAGGGCAAGGAGGCTGTAAGTGCTCCTTGGCGGGATCACAGCTGACTGACCTTATCTGTGAACTCCATCACCAGCTCTAGGCTCTGCACAGCGACGAATTGAGCCAGCTCGTCTGCATCCAGGCCTAGCTCTCTGTTAACCAAGAAATCTATCCGCTGGTCATCATCCTGCAAGTAGGTAAGTCAGGGAACAGTCTCTGCAGAAATGCTCAGAGATCAGACACATCATCCCTCCAAAGCATCTGGAAGATACTTGCATAGCACCACCCTTACCTTCCGAAAGAGCGAGATGGTGTCCTCGGTAATATTGTACTTTTGGAAGAGCTTCAGGTTGTCTGTGAGGGCAAAGGCCACCTCAGGAGTGTCACTAGCCACATCGCGGAAGAGGCGCACATCTGGATCCTGCAAATCCTAGAGAGAATGGGACAGCCAGAGGCAGCTCTAGACACAACCAGCACGGGAAGGAAGGCTGCAGTTTGAGGCTGGGGGAGAGAGACCACAGTTCCCTTTCCAGAGAGAATCTCTCACTGGACAACAACAGTCTAATTCCTGACTATATGGAAGAGGCCCAAACCTCTGGTCATTTTTGAGCCCCGACCCCCCCCCCCCAGTTCCAGGGAGTGAATAGAGGTGTAATTTGGGAGAGAAGCACGTGCCCTACCCGTGCCAGCTTCAAAATGGAGAAGCGTAAGATGTCACTCACTTGGAAGAACCCAACTACTGCAACATTGTGGAGATCCAGGAGAGCAGCCACTGCATCAACTTCTTCAAGCAGCACCAGACCGGACCCGGCTTTCCGTTTCAGCCACTCAACTATTCCCGCAGCATCTCGCTGGCCTAGCGTGGGGACCGAGGGAGCAGCTGTGGAGATGACTGCCACCAGCAGCTCTTTGAGCAGAAGGGCTATAGTACTCATCAGCAAAAGTAGGAAAACGCGAGCAGTGGCTGAAGGACTACCAGCGTGGCCATGGAACAGGTGTTCTGCTCCTCCATTCAAAAAATAGTGCTTACTCAGTATAATCAAAGGGAAATAAGAGGCCAGGTTCCTTGTAAAGCCAGGCAGCCTGAAGCCAGATAGAGTCAGAGTCTGAAGCCCTGCCTCCTGCATTAATATGACTAGACCTTGCAGGAACTGGCCACACAGCCAGAAACTGGGGACAGTGTGGTAGGCATTAGCAGATGATTACCCCAAAGGTCTGGGAGTGGTGGGTTGTCATCAGATTCAAAGGGGCATACCGGTGATAGTTTCTCCCACATTAGCCCCCTGCAGTGAGTTACTAGTGCTGGCTGCGTTTCCTCTACTTCTAGGCTGACCTGGGAAATCCATGGGGTGGGTGCGGTTCCCATCTCGAAAGAGTTTGAGGACAGGGTACCCGGTGATTCCAAACTCTACTCTCAGTGTCTGCTCCTCTGTGCAATCCACCTTGGCCAGTCTCACCAGGGAAGAAGCCTCGTTCTTCAGCACTGCTGCTGCTTTGGCATATTCAGGGGCCAGGGCCTGGCACTGCCCAGACCAGGGGGCATCTGAGGGAGAGAGGAAAGAGGTAATAAGGAAGGGCAGCAGACGGAAAGGATGCACTAGTTAGCAGTGTCCTTTTCCTCTCTGGGCTGGAACCTTGGGAGAAGGAGGTTGATGGACTCCTGTGCAGAGGGAAGTGCTTCTTCACACAGGGCATAACAAGCTCAAAGGTCGAACCAGCCCAACCACTAGATTTTGATTCTGCCACAATCTCTTGCTGAAAGAGATTCAACAAACTCCTAGATGGAGCCTATCAGTGCCTTGACTAGAACTCCATAGCCAGTGAAAGTCCACCTCCCGCAGCTAAAGTTGCAGCTCACGAAGGAGGAGCAGCTGCTCAGAGCTGGCCGAGAACAGACTGCAAGGCTTGCGGTTAGTGCCAGATCTGCAGGTACTGAGAGACACAGTGCACACCTCTTGCTCAGTGTGCACTATGCGTGTTCTCCCAATCTAGGCTATGTGCCTGGGCATTTGCAGACCACTGGTTCTTTTGGGAATAAATACCTTTTTGTGTAAAGGTCTAATCTGTGGTCTGCAGGATAGCTTGTCCCAGCCTTGTGTATTGACTCAGGACCTTTGTCAGGTCATTACCACCTTGACTGTCCCCAACGCAGCTGGGAGAAGAAGAGGCAAGAGTTGCCTCCGGAGCCCATGAATGGCACCACGATGGCACTGCCTTGCTGGCAAGGCTGCTTCTGCTGCCAGGGATGACTGGAGGTTGCCTGATCTGGAGCAGCCCTTAGCCCACCCAGACAGGGCTTCCTTCGCATCCATGGGGGAGCGCGTGGCACTCCTGCAGATCAGATTCTCTTCACGCGGATTGGAAGTTTGCTACTCCCCAGAAGACCATGCTCCCCTACAATAGGCCAGCACCCGCCCTACAGAAGCCCCAGGACAGTACCATGAAGATTTCCAGACCTCAACAGCCTCTTGCCCCTTCTTTCCACCAGTACTCACAGAATTCCACCAAGAGCAGCTTGTATGTCTGCAGAGCCTGGGCAAAATTGTGCTGGTTCAGGACCAAGACATTGTCTTCCTCCTCCACCCAGTTGTTGTCCTCTTGAGTCCTCACAGGCTGTGCTAAAGTCATGGCCAGCCATAAGAGCAGCAGGCAGTCCATGGTGGTGTGAAGAGAACAGTGGAACTCAGTGTACCAACATGGACCCAGAGATGCCAGGCAGGGCAGGGCTGGCCTTGATAAGGCCCCAAGCCCCTGTGCTGAACACGTGGCTCTTGGTGAGTGGCTGCTCCAATCACAACAATCAGCCAGGAGCCTCCACATGCCAACTTGCTTGCTCTGCCCTTGCTGTAAGAGGGGAAGTCCTGAAGGAATCCTTGTCCTCCTTGCCAAGAGGAATGCCCTCAGGCGTTTGAGTTCCTGAGCATGTGGCAAGTTCTGCTGGCTCTTCTGGGCTTTCAGGCAAAAGGAGTCAGAAGGAAGGTTGCTCAGAGGCAGCCACCTGTTAGGGCAGCCAACCCTAACCCTAATGAAGACCTCTAAGCTAAGGAGAGCTTCAACTTCGGGGCATCTGCAGTTCTAGACAATGGCTCTTTGGTGCCAGAGTGGGGAACTCAGGAGAGTCCGAAGTTGGTTTTGGCTTCTCAAGGAAATGCTACAGTGAGGCATCTGCTAGCCTGGAAGGGTAGGAGATCTACCAGTGTCTAGGAGCTGAAGGCAGTAATGTGGATTCTGAATTGCAGCTGCCAAAACAAAGAAGGAAAAACCCTACGTCCAGGCGAAGGCTTGTTTGTACATGTTATCTGCTTCAGACCTCAAAGTGAGAGCAAGGGCAAGCACTTGCTTGCTTACTCCTGCCCTCTTCTCAGAAATACCTGAGGCCTGAAAACAAGAGGGTCAGATGGGTGTCAAGAGGAAGCTCCACGGCTTCTCAGCAGACCTTCAGGGGCTAAACAGGGTGCCCGGAAAGTCTTCCTCTGAGATCTTCTCGGCATCCCCCTTATGGACAAAGGGTGAGCTGCTTCTTCAGGGTGATGCACAAATGGCCAAACTGGAGGAGGCAGTGGGGGTGTTTTTCAGTACTGGGGTATTCCGACAAGACCTCAGCTTCCTCCAGTACTGCCCGGTCTTGGCAGAACCCAGCACCATCCCGTGGAATGTCCATCAGCTCAGCCAACTGTTGAATTCCTTAACAGTTCTCCGTGTTGCTTGGAAGCAGCATGGGATTGAATGGTGAGGCAGCCTCGGGCCTGGGATGGGGAGCATAACTGATAGGTGGAGATGGGCTGCCTCAGGCACAGGGCAAGTCAGCTGTTCCATAATCCACCAGCTGCTTTTTAAGGGGGGAGACAGTGCCCAGCCTCCTGTGTTCACACACTCTCTCCATGTTGTGAATTCTTCCCTGCAGAAAGCAAAGAGTCAGGCCTTAACAGAGCCTCTTCCGAAGGACAGGTAAAGGGTAGCAGGATCTCTAGGCTCCCGTGAGTGGCAGAAAGCTCTCCTGGATCGGCATCAGACCTCCCTTCCTCTTGGCCTTTGAAGGCACTGGAGAGAGGCATAATTCAGACTCCAGGCCCCATCAGCAACTGACTTGCACAGGTCCACCCCTGCCTAAGCTGAGTTCCTGCCAAGCAGCGTCACTTAGACCAAGGCTGGTTGGGAGAATGGGGGTGTAAAATATCCCGGGAGCTTCTAACTGCTTTGAGCATCTCCTGCAGAAGGTGGAAGAAGATGAGGCAGCCACCCTGTTGTGTGCAGCTGCAAGGAAGGGTCGCTATGACATGGCCCAGCAGCTCCTCTGCCAAGGAGCAGAGGCTATCAACAGCCAGGTAGAGCCATGTGGCAAGACACATGGGAGGGACGTGGGGGCAGGAGGAGCGGAGTGTCTGCTTCTTGCATCTACCCAACAGTCTGACTGGCCAGCCGGCTACCCCACTGATGGCTCCTTCTCCTTCGGCTTGCCTGTTTCTCCTCCAGGATGCCACTGGCAGGACGCCCCTTTTCTGGGCCACAGAATACCAGCATGAGACCCTGGTGGAGCTGCTGCTGTCTCATGGTGCAGACCCAGATGTCCGTGACAATGTGTGTTTGGTGAAAAAATGGTGCAGGGCAGGAAAAGGGAGGGGGAGGGGCACCTGAGCACCACTTCATTATACAGCAGCTGCCTCATACAAACCAAGAGGGCCGCATGTTGAATTGGCCAGAAAGATATTCCAGCGGGTGAGATTCAGGTTGGTGGCCGCAAAGGGCAGCAGACATGGGCCCCGCCTGGCTTGGTTCCAACTGCACCTTCAGGTTCAGCCTCGAGCATCTTGGGGATAGTGGACCATTGTGCCTGAACAGCCATGCAAAGCTAAAGGAGACCGCCTTTGGGGGCAGAGAGTCTCACTTCTTGCTCCTGGGCCCTGTCCCATGGATGGGAACAATTTTCCCACAGCCCTCCAGGACTGACCTGGTTCACAACATTTCTATCTATCTGTCTGGAGCTCTTCCCTTCATCTGAAGGTCTCATCTAATCCAGCCTTCTGTGCCATTAAGTGCCTTTGAGAAGTGAAGCAGTGTAGGCAGAGGGCACCTGCCTCTCCCACTGTTCTTCTCAGGGAACTGGGATTTCAGGGGTGCTGCCTGGGAAAAAAAAAAGCCCTCCAGAGCAAGGCCTTCAGCCACCTTCCCTGCTAAAACCAACTCAACTGAGGATCATCACCATGTTGCTCCTGCCCTTCTGACACCATGCAGGAAGGGAATCTTTGTCTGCACTGGGCAGCCTACATTGGCTCAGCTACCATTGCCAGGATGCTGCTAGGAGCTGGCTCAGACCTGAATGCGACAAACCATCTGGGCAACTCACCTCTGCACCTGGCAGCCCAGGAGAGATGCTATGAATGCCTCAGGTGAGGTAAGGGGGGCAGGAGGGTCTTCACATAGTTAGGTCACTACACAGGGCAGAGCTCAGGAGCAAAGCTGAAGCCCTCCTCCAGGCCTTGGGTTGATTGCTTAGTTCCCTGGGCCCTCCTGGCAGTTGTCTATTCTCATCCCTCTTTGTGAGAAGCACATGTTGGTTGCTAGGACACTCCCCTCCTAGCCGTTCCCCAAGATTTCCAAGGATGAGTGGGAGGGGTTGCCTTATGGAACTGGAGGGATCTTGGAATAAGATGCTTTTGATTGTACGGAGTTCTTTGGAGTTCTCATCAGGGACCACAAAGTGCAGGGCACTAGCATCCTTCTGATCTTGCAGCCTTTTCCTGGCCTGTGGTGCAGTCTCTCTGAAAAACAAAGCAGGACAGCTGCCCCAGCAATGTGCCCAACCCAGCTCCCCCTCCTGCAGAGCTCTGCAGGCCTTCTCTGCCCAGTTCCCAAGCCAGGTAGAGCAGATCCTTAGCAGGTGAGTATCCCCAGTTGAAGAGCACTTCTCAGGCTGCCGGCAGTGCTCAGCACTGCCTGCTGGCTTCCTTGCCTTCTCTTCCCAGGGACATCTCCCGCGGCTTCGAGCAGGTCCCCATTCCCTGCCTCAGTATGGTAGACAAGGAATCCTATCCCAGGGACTTCCTCTACATCACAGGGAACATTGTCTCAGGCTCAGCGCTTCTCCCCACAAAAGCCTGGGACCAAAGTCAGGTAAGAGATGCTCCTCCCTTGCTTCCTTTGGGACGGGAAGAGCAGATGTGCCCCCTCAGCACTTGGATCGCATTATCTGAGGCACATCTGTGAGATGGTGGGAACAAAATTTTAACTTTTATGATAGCATCCTTTGAATCAAGGTACTTGTAAATACTCTTCCTCAATGGCCTTTCCACCTCCAAGATACGTCTTTTGGCATTTTCAGATTTTTTTATTGAGTTTCTTGTGTGGTCACATTTTTATTTATTTATTTTATTTATATTTCAAATTTAGATACCGCCCATCTCATGAAAAAGTTACACATTTGATTTTCTACCATCCTCTCTTTTCCCCCTTCTTGGAATTTTTCAACTGTAATTTTAAAATCCTTCTTTGGAGGAATTTACGCCATCTCTCAGCCTTCCTGTCCTGAGAGGCTTGACTGTTGATCACAGATTTCCTGACCCTCTTGACCTGACTCTCCAGATGCTTTGACTCAGGTAGATGAGACCCCTTACAGTACTACAGACAGGAAGGCAGCCACCCCAGCACCTGATAGCCCACTGCTGGTGCAAGGTGTCCATGAGTTTTATGTCCTGGGGATTTAAAGCATCTTCACTGCGCCATTAATGGGGAGCTGGCATGGCACTGAGGGGCCTTAACGTTCAGCAGTTCTTGCAAGCTGAAATGGCCACCTCAGCACTTACACTATCTTGGGTTCTCTTTACATTCACTTTCTCTTGTGGTGGAACCCTATTTATCAGTACTCTAAGTTTATTAAAATCTAATTTTCAGCACACCCAGTTTGTTGTTGTTCAGTCGTTAAGTCGTGTCCGACTCTTCGTGACCCCATGAACCATATTGCGCCAGGCCTTCCTGTCCTTCACTGCCTCCCTGAGTTTGCTCAGTTTCATGCTCATTGCTTCAGTGAT